GGCATAATTTAGGTAGTAGTGTGTGTGTGTGTGTGTGTGTGTGTGTGTGTGTGTGTGTGTGTGTGTGTGTGTGTGGGAGGGGGAGGGGGGACAGCTTGCGTACCGCCATGTTTCGGCCTGCGGACAGACAGTCCCACGTCGAGTGCAATGTTGTCTGTTGCCAATTGGAACGAGTGGTGTTGTTTGCCAGAAGTGCCATGCATGCGGTTGTCGACGGACGGCTGTCGACTGCTGGCTGTCGGCTACCTGCTACTTTCCATCCAGTTGGAGACCATTGCACATACCTGTCGTCTTTGAACGAATCCCCCTCCCCCTTCCCCCCCCCCCGCCCTCCCTTCCCTTCCCTTCGCCTTTTTGACATGATTGTCATGCCGTGGACGGTGCAGGTGGTGGTGGTCTTGCTGGCAATGGTTCTGCTGCGTGGAGTGGAGGGTATGAAGAGTGGGAGTGAGCCATGTCATGATGTGGTGGTTACTGCTCTGGGGTACGTACCGGGTGGTGGTGGTGGTGGTGGTGGTGGTGGGTGGGTGGGTGGGAGGGGGAGGGGGAGGGGGGGGGGGAGGACCGGCTTCGTCGGCGACATGTGACTGATGTGACTGACCGACAACAACGTGGTGTGATTGATGGACGCACTGGTGTTCGCGGGCTGGCCGGGTACCAACACACGGGGGGGGGTGTCCTGATACATGGGCTTGTAGCTCTATCCGGGGCGTGTGCAACGGGTCGTTCAGTGACATGCCATTCCGGGTGTTCAAGGGCATCCGGTACGGCGCATCGACAGGCGGAAGCAACCGATTCATGCCGCCGATCGCAGCCGCGCCGTGGAAGCCGGCCACGCTCGACGCCACCGCCTACGGCTGGGGCTGCATCCAGACGGACCACAACCCAGACGTGCCCAAGAACCAGTCGGAGGACTGCCTGTTCCTGAACGTGTGGACGCCGTATGGTGCCGAAGCCGGCGACAAGCTCCCGGTCACGTTCTTCATCCACGGCGGGACGTTCAAGGAGGGCGCCGGCTCGTTGTACGGCGGCGGCGGCATTGCCGGCATCCACAACAACATCCTGGTCACCATCAACTACCGGCTCGGCCCGCCGGGCTGGGTCGTCACCGGGCCGATCAAGGGCAACATGGGCCTGCAGGACCAGCTCCTTGCCCTCGCCTGGGTCAACGACCACATTGCCGCCTTTGGCGGCGACGCCAGCAAGATCACTATCCAGGGTGAGTCGGCCGGCGCCATGTCGGTCGGCATCCACCTGACGTCGCCGGCCGCCCGCGGCCTGTTCTCCAAGGCCATCATGGAGTCAAACGTTGCCGGCTACCGCTACCGCGATGCCAAGGCGCAGGCCGTCTACGGGCGCGCCTTTGCCAAGGACCTCGGGTGCGCCGCCGACGACCTTGTCTGCATGCAGCAGGCGCCGGTCGCAGCACTCGACGCCGCGACGCGCAAGGCAGCGCAAGACCCAGTGGCGTTCATCTTTGCCAACCCGACCCACCCGCTGGACGGCTTTATCCAGTGGGAGCCGACTGTCGGCACCGAGCTCTTTCCCGAGCAAGTTCTCGACGCGCTCGCGGCCGGTCACTACGACCCGTCGGTCCCGATCCTGATGGGTACCAACGCGCAGGAGGCTGTCGCCTTTCTCGGCACCACCAACATCTCGGGCATTGAGTACGAGGCCGCGCTCGACATCATCTTTGGCCCGCTCCACGCCCATGAGATCAAGTCGCACCCGCAGTACGCGCCGCCCAAGGCCGGCGAGTCGGCGACCTTTATCTTCTCGCGCGTGCTGACTGACTACTGGTTCGAGTGCCCGTCGCTCGCGTATGCGGCGCACTTTAAGGCTGCGTACGTGTACCTCTACAACCACCTGCTCTCGTTTAATCCGTTCGGCCACTACCTTCCGCAGTGTGTCGACTACGTGTGCCACGGCGAGGAGCTCGCGCTCGTCTTTCGCGGCGAGCTCTTTGGCCAGTGGTTCACCCTCCCGCCAGTCGATCTCTCGCTCTCGGAGCGGATGATCGACTACTGGACGGCGTTTGCCACGAGCGGAAGTGTCAACACCGGCTCAGGTGTTGGCTTTGAGTGGCCGTCGCTGGTGGCGTCGGCAAAGCGGATCGTGTTCAACGACACGCTCGCGACAGAGAGCCTCCCTTCTGTCTGCGCCATGTGGGACAAGTTCGGGTACAACCACTGAGAAGAAGGCCGAGAGAGAGAGAGGTCAGTTTACTCGGCGCCAAACATGTCCTTGAAGGCGGCGCGGACGGCACGAAAGTCGGCGGCGTGCGGAGCGTCCGAGCCCGGCTCGGTGCCAAAGTTCTTAAAGGTGCGCCAGCGCATGCGGATCATACGCTTGTCGTAGTTTCCGACGAGGGCGGCGATGGCGAGGAGCTTCGCTGACGACGGCGAGAACTCGTCGCGGGTCTCGCCGCGGAAGTAAGCAGCGATGGCGCCGCCGAGAGCGTCGCCGTCAAGGCCGACAGTGTCGCGGAAAGCGACAGCGGCCTCGGCGATGCGGCGCGAAGTCGTGTCGAGGCCGTACGCCGGGTTGTCGGCGCCGTCGCCCCAATACGAGGCGATGTTGTCGACCGGCACGCCGGCAGCCTGGAGCGCAGCGGTAAACTCGGGCTTGTCGACGTGCATGGAGCGCCCGCCGTGGCCGGGCAGCTCTGTGGCCGGCGACGCCGCGGCGGTGATGGGCGCGAAAAAGGCGGCAAAGATGTCGTCCGATGCCGAGAGCGACGAGTGCAGGATGCGGACGAGGTGGATGAGGCCAAGGCACTCGTACGGAACGTCCCAGTTGGGCCCGTACTCCTTCATGGCCTTGTTGGCGGCGGCGCGGATCTCGCGGAGCTTGTTGGAGCGGACGTATGCGTCGCCGAGGTAGACCTCGTCGTTCTTGCGCTTGCACGGGCACTCAGGGTTGATGGTCGCACCAAAGAGGAAGCCCACGTCCGGGTGGTCCTTGCCGACTGGGTGGCCCACAAGCGAAAACTCACCGGCGTCCGGCATGACCTTGGCGTGGTGGGCGGCGACGGCATGGGCGAGGGCGACCGGCCACTTGGGCGCGTCGCCAGCGGCGCCGGGCGCAGCAGCAAAGAGCGCGGCCGTGGCGTTGAAAAACTCGACCGCGGCAGAGGCGCCTGGAGCAGACGGCTGCTTCATCTTGGCAGTCTCAAACACGTCCTTGAGCACGTTCATGAGGCAGATCTTGGGCCGGATGAAAATGGTCTCGCCCAGATCGTGGCCGAGGACCTCGACCGAGAGGGCGGCAAAGGCATCGGCCGCGGCCTCGTAGTCGTGGGCAAACTTGGCATGCCGGACCGACTCCATCCACTCGGTTGCCTCGCGAACCTCGGCTCCGTCTTCGGCCTCGGGCCCAGCAGCCGACGCGGCAGCCTCGTTACCAGCAGCCTTGTCACCGGCAGCACTCGCGGCGGCAGCAGCGGCAGCGTTTGTGTCAAGCGGCGGTGCGTCCGAGGCGTCGGCAAGGTCGTCGTCGACGTCCGAGGCACAGAACATGTTCCACCATGACGAGCCGGACTCGCCGGTGGCAGCGTTGTTCTCGGTGGCGTGAACAAGCGACTTGCGGAGCTTGCGGACGACGTTGCGACCCTTGCCGGCCGAGCCGAGGCCAAGGGCTTCGATCCCAAGAGCAAACAGCAGACGCTCACGCTGACCGAGGACACAGGAGCAGGCAAGCCGACGAGGCGGAATGACAACCTCCTCCTCCACAGGAGAAGGCGAAGAAGAAGAACTTGGCGTGGTGCTCGACGAGTTGCTCCCGGACTCGGAGCCGGACTCGAGGTTGGCAAGCGCTGCAAATGACATGGCGAGTGGCAAGGGGAGAGTGAGATGCCCGGTTCTGAGGTTGGGGGGGGGGGACGGGGGGGGGGGGGGGGGAGGGGGGGGGCATCAATTCGTTGCGGATAATGAGCGAGATCATGACCTTGCCAGGGGGGAGGGGGGGGGAGGGGGGAGTCAGTTGGGCATCCACTCGTTGCGGATAAACATGGAGAACGAGACAACGTTGTCCAAGGTGCCCGTCGACGCCATCGTTGCCATGGTCGCGCTGCGATGCTCGCTGTACAGCTGCGAGTCGAGCGGCACGCCGTTGGAGGCAGATGCAAGGCCAAAAACAAGATCTCCATCGTTGAGTCCCGCAGCCAGATGTGCTGTCATTGTAAGGCTCGCAAAGCTTGTGTTTGCCGCAAGCAGCCCGGTGTTGAGGCAGGCTTCTGCAGAGAGGCAGCGGACCAGCCCACAGACTCGGGCTTCCAGCACCGGCGAGAAGCAGCCGTCGAGCGCAACGACAGCGTAGATCTCGGAAGCAGTCGATGTTTCCGAGACGCGGTATCTGGCGGTGCAAGTCACACCTCCGGCGTGCGCGGTGGCGGTCCCAGAAGACGAGGCGGTCACATTAAACGTCGTCACCATTGGGCTTGAGCGCTTGCCGCATGCCGGAAAGCGGAATGGGGATGGCGGCGGCGCGACCAACGGCGGCAGCACCGCGCCAAAAGTCACTACATCGTGGACAAGAACTTGTGTCTCGCCCTGCCATCCCGGATTGTACCAAGATGCAAGTGTCTTGCCGCGTGAGAAGAGACCCGAGCCCGAGTTGTACCACGACGAGCCGGTACCGGCGGCAACAATCGATGCATTGTGCGCAGAGCTCCACCCGCGCAGTACGGCCGGGAGGGTGAGCAGCGGCGGCTCGTTGACCCAAAACGAGGAGAAGACAAAGTCGGTGATGCCGGCGGCAATGTCGCCGTTGGCTGGCCGTGCAAAGAGCAGGTCAAAGCAGACCATCATGCCAAAGGTGACGTCCAGCTTCGCCGGCGTGAACCAGACCGGCGCCCAAGTTGTGGGCACATCAAACTGTGCCTCGTAGTACAGGTGCAGCTTGTGGTACTTGGCCAGCAGCCGGCCATCGGCATCCAGAGCGATCTGGGTGTTGTACGCCCAATACCCGATCGGCGGGCAGCGCTCGTTCGGGAGACACGCCACCTGCTCGGCCATGTCCAGCACCAGCACCACGCCGTGATCGCGCGCAATGCACGATGCGCGAGCCGCCGCCACTGCGTCTGCCCACATTGTCGCGTTGGTGCATGGGACAATAACATGGTCCGCCAGCTGGCGCGCAGCAGGCAGGATGGCCAGAAACGGCGCGATGCCCGCAGCCGAGTATCCGGCGCCATACAGATTGTCTTCCGGAAGCACAACCAGATCAGCACCGCGCCCAGCAGCCATGCCCACCGCGACGTTGATCTCATCTAAATTGGCCAGCATTAGCTTCTCCGCCGCCGCCACATCCATTCCATCGTGCCCCACAATCGGCGCCCGTTCCACCGCCGCTGCTCGGTACCGCCGCCCGGCAGAGGCTGTCGGGAACGTAGCCGAACGGGTCGAGCCAGCCACAGGCATGAGCGCCACAAGCACCAGAGCAAGCGTGCATAGCAACGCTGCGATGGCGTCGTGTTGAGTCGTCATGGCCTCGGCAAGTGGTTGAGTCGGCCGGCGTGAGTCACGTGTGTCGTGTAGTCGGCCGCAGTCGCCGGTTGAGTACGCCAGTTGGCGGTCGACTACGGCCGGTCACGGGAGAGGCCGGGCAGCTCCAGATCGGCAGGAATGTGGATTGGAGGTGTGAAGTTTGATGTTGGTGAAATAGCTGCGTGATTGCGTGCAGGGTACGGATGGGTCAGGGTTGGAATCAGATAGGATCGGGACAGAGCTGGCGGTGCAGACGGGCCTCGCTCTCGACCCGGTAGGGGCGGAGGCAACACCAAAGTACTCGTGGCCGCATCGGCAGGTCATGTGCCGGCATCCACCGTTCTTCTCGGTGGGAATGTTGCATTGCGGACAACGCTTGGTGATCCGCTTGATGGCGACCGAGGACGCCTCTTCGTCCTGGGCGGCAGCGGCGCGGGCGCGTTCGACGGCCTCAGCCTGGCCGGTGAAGCAGCAGTGGCCGACGCGCGCAGACACGGCCTGCTCCTCGTGGACCGCGCACGTTCGCCCCTTGCACACCCGGCAGTTCAGGATGCCGTCGATGACAGCGTTGCGTGGCCACTCCAGCTGGCACGCCGGCTGCGCGCACCGGATCCCGTCGTTGCCGATCTGCTTACTCTTGATCATGTTGTACTGCTCAAGGAGCTGCTCACGGTTTGACGCCGGCAGCAGGTTGCGGACATGCTTGTACATGATTTCAGCCCGGCATGTCATGTCGACGCACAGCGGCAGCGCGTGGCCCTCAAGAATCGCCACGCACCAGTTGCCGAGGCACTCGCTGCAGGTCTTCAGATGGCCGCATTGGAGACGTGGCCCGCGCATGCCCTCCTCACCGCACACGCTGCATGCCTCTGTAAGGAGCGGGAACATTGTGTCTGAAGCAGGGCTTGAAGGCAAAGATGGCGCATCTGACCGTTTGGCGCGAGCAGCCTCGGTACGCTTCGCGCGTTCTGGGGACTTCCACCGCGACGGGCCTGGCGCGCCGAACTTGGCCGCCGTAGCTCGGACATCGCTTCTTGCCAGCGATGGGCTGGTGTGAACGGTAGACGATGCGACTGTTGGCGCCTCATAGCCTGAGTTAAACATCGCCGCCTTGGCCCGCACGTTGCCGGCCGACGTCGGCGATGGGCTGGCACCCGGCGCCGGCGAAAGAGCGCTGGAGCTGAACATTGCCGCCTTGGCGAGCACGCTTCCGCTCGTCGGCGGCGGTGGCGTTGTCGGGCTGTGTAGAGGCGTCGAAGCGGTTGGAGGTGAAGCCTTCCGCGACGATGCAGGCCTTGGCTCTGTCGACGCCATGAGTGCGGGCCGGCTCGAGCGCACGGTCGTGGTCGCGGTTGCGGATGAACGCTTCGCCAGGCCGCCAAACATAGCTACACGAGCCTTGACACTGCCGACCGCGGGCAGGGTCTCTGTTGAGGCCACAGTCGGTGGCGAGGCCGAGGCTGGAGGCTGTGGGGCGGTGTATGGGGCGGGAGGCTCTGCCGAAGCATGAGGTGGGGCGTTCGAGTGTGACGTTGGCCGGGACTCACCCGCGGCCGACTTGTGGCCGCGCTTGACCTTGTGCAGCACTTTGGGCTTGACCTTGGGCTTGGGCTTGAGCGTAGGTTTGGGCTTGGGCTTGGGCTTGGGCTTGGGCTTGAGCTTGGGCTTGAGCGTGGGCGTGGGCTTTGGCGTGGGTGCGGCCACGCCAGTCAATAACCTGCCGCAGTTTGTTGCACTTTCCGCTGCGATGTCAAAGGAAAGACTCTCCAGCAGCTGCAGCACGCCGTAGAGCGTAGTCATCTCGACCGAGGTCTCACTCAAGCCAAAGTCAGTCTTGACACTATCCCGCAGGCGGTTGATGTGGTTCTGGATGGCTGCAAGCACCTCGTTGGCGGTTCCGTTGTGTGCCTGGGTGACGAGCGCCGAGCTAGCCATGGCCCTTTTTTTTCCGGCACGGCCGAGTCAGCTCTCGGTGCGACTGTATCGAGTTGAGTCGCCAACACCCGCGGCCGGCCAGGCGAAGCGAAGCGGCTGACACCTTAATTTGCTCAGAGCTCCGATGGTGTCGACACAGCCGGCTCCGACGGAGTGGGAGCCCATCCGCCCACCCTTTGGATAACGATGCGCAACGACAACGACGACAACAACGCGCCCTCTGGGCGCCCAATTCTTACCTTGATATCGTGTCTATGCGAGGCATCGAGCTATCGATGGGCGCTCATGTACACGCGGATCCTCGTGCCATGGCGCGTTGTACTGGTAAAGATGGTCAGCACAGTACATGTGAGGAAATCTCTCAAGTCGTCGAGCCGTCGAGCCGTCGAGCCAGCGGAGCAACCGCTCGCGCATATTCGTTCGACGAGTGCACCTCCGACCCCGGCAGAGCCAGTTGATGCCCCAGCTCACATACACCCGACTGGCAATACCTACGAGCGATGCCGTATGAACCGAGTGGATCCGGGCGGGATGGGTTCATCTTCCGCACTCCGGCAGCTGTCCATGGTGTTCGTCGTGCGTACGTTGTGTGGCAGCCCGCTGGACTCGGGTTTGCGGGGGGGGGGGGGGGGGGGGAGGGGGCGGCCGTTGGCGGGCGATGACCGCCAACGGACAGACGGGCGAGCGAAGACTCACACGAGGGTGGCATGGCGAACGAGGGCAGAGACGTCAACCGATCGGACTTTCCGGCGACCGCCACAGCGTACTCGGGACACATTCCTTATGCCCAGCACGTTGTTGGTGAGAAGATCGTCTCGCATGCCGACGATGCTAACGACGCTGGGTGCTCGAGCGGCGTTGGCGGTGGGCGCGGCATGCCAGCGCCGCAGCGGCAGACGCTGCGCAAGGATGTGAGCCCGCTGCCGCCGATGGGCAACACGTCGGTCAAGTCGTACACTGGCTTTGTTCCGACCTGCCTCCGGATCAGCACTGCGACTGAGCGGCTGGCGGCGGCGCGTGGTGCGACACTCGACGACCTTGACGCCACTGTTGTCGGCGACCAGATCGGGACCGCGGTCCGGAGCGTTACTGCAGCCTCCATCCGGGCGGCGACGGTCGAAGACAACATCGGCGATGCACTGACTCGGCCGTACCTGGCAGCAGCGCCTGTGGCCAATGCGAGCCAGGTGTATGGGTTCCGCACCACCTACGGTGAGACGGTCTCGTCGGCCGGGCAGATTGTCCGGCTCGAGGCCGGCCGTCAGGCCGAGCCGGACGCAGACCTCCGCCCTTGGACAGCGGGAGTCTCGGGCTATGCTGGCCATCGGCCGCATGTGGCCCCGACCTCGGTCCAATGGTACGGCCGCCCGTGCGCCGAGCCGAGCGCCACTGCCCCGTCGTCCGGCGCACCAGAGCCGACCCATCGCCAGCCCGCATCAGCCCAATGACAATAAATGACTGCATCAATCACATAGAGAGAGAGACTGTCTGTGTTGCAAACATGGCGGGCGGCCTGAGGTGCGGGGTAGCAAGTTGCATGCGGGGTAGCAGGGGAACATCGGCAAGGATGCGCGATCGCGATTTCAATTCCTCCTCATCCTTCCCCCCCCTATTCATTATGCTCCTCATAGCTGCCATCGATACCCATCCCCGCTTCCAGCTTCCAGCAGTGGTTCCGCGGGCTCCACGGGCTCCACGTCATGCGAAAGCGAGGGATCACGGGCTTGAGCAGCAAAGGAGTTAGCAAAGGCGGGATGAGGCGGAGAGGGGAAGAAGGCACTCAGCTGACTCCATATACAAAAGCCAAACCTGTTGTCATCATGGGAGGCTTTCTCGGCTCTCTAAGCAAGGACCTTCGTGGTTGCGTGCTGTTCTTCATGTACCGGTCGCTCCATCTGTGGACGAAAGCAACGCGGGCGGCGAGGACGGTCATCCCCTCGCGCAGCGCCGAGACTGTCTGGGTCCGATGGGCCTTTGGCTTGCGACACGTCGCGGTGATTGCCTCGGCCACGATGACGTATCTCACCATTCGAGCTGATGAGCGTGGTGATGAGGACGAGGTGCTACGGCTCATTCTGTGGGGGCTCATTCCGTCCGGGGTGCGGACTCTGGCAGCAATGTTGACGTCGACACTGGATAGGATCCACGCCAAGGACGCGCAGATCGAGGCACTGGCGTTGCAGCCGCTGATGCTGCGGGGCGCTGGTATTGCCGGCGAGCCGCCGGCGCAGTTTACGGCCTGCAGGCGGATGTTCCGATCGATTGCCAAGCGTTTTCGCGGACCCATACCAAGAGCCGTGGCAGGGCGCGCGATGCGCTCACCGACCGGTACGGGTTCCAGGTCTCGACGCCGCTGCTCACCCAGTATGTGTCGCTTGCCAAGGGCATTGAGATTCCGCTCAACTACATTGTGCAGAAGCTCTTCCTCCTCATCCTTGTTGTGCTTTTCATCTTCCCAGACACGCTCTCCAAGAGCCTCACTCGCGATCTCAACACGTGGTCGCGGTACATCCGTATCGCCACCACCCTTCTCCTCGCCCCGCTCAACCAGTACCTCGGCTGGCTGCGAGTCGAGGCGTACCGGCAGGTTCAGGTGGCGTGCCAGGCCAAGATCGCGGCCCGGTACGGCGACCAGCTCGAGCTGCTGCGGCAGCTCCGCGCCAAGACAGCTTCCGACACGGAGTATGGCTCGGACTCGAGCTCGAGCTCCAATGACGTGAGCAAGCGGATGACTGCAGCTGAGGTTGGGGGCTGAGTCCGGCGGCGCAAACCGAACTCATGGCCATCCGCGATGCGGTGCTGTTCATCGACAACGAGCGGCTGAGCATCCACGCCGAGGTGGCGGATCTTGGACGCGAATCGCAGCGGATTGTGGCCAGCATGGCGGACGACCGCGAGACTGACCAGCACCTGCTCGACACTTGGCGGGTCCACCACCGGGCTAAGCTCCGGCTGCAGGCGCTGGCCAAGCTTGAGGCGTTTCTTGATGCCGAGTGCCCTGCGTACGCCGAGCTGCGGGGCGCGTTCAAGGGCTCAGACAGCTGGGCCGACGAGCTCCTGCCGCCGCCGCCGCTGGTCGGCTGGCGCGACGTCGAGTCGACCGCGCCGTCTTACTCGTCGATCGGATCGACGACGGCGGTCTCGAGCTCGTATGTGAGCGGCAGCACGAGCTCGTTCAGCTAGAAGGCGAGGCTGTGGTGGCTTTATGCTCCGGGGCGAGGGGAAGGGGCTCAGCCCAAAAAGTCAACAGCGGCCTTGTTGACCTTTTCGGCGTTACCGCCCGTGACTGCGGCGACATACTCGACGTAGGCGTCGGGAAGGTCGGCGTCGGAAGCGGGCGGCTTGGCGGAGCCGTCTGCCGCGACGAGGCCACGGTCCTCGAGGTCGATCGAGTCGTAGACGTCGTCGAACTGGGCCATTATGCTGGGGTCGATGGCGCCTGCTGCGGCTGCGGCGGAGAGGACGGCGCGGAGCTCTGCGGTAGAATACGGCGCAAAGTTGACTTTGTTCCGCATGTGTGCAGCGGTGTAGGCGGCCGAGTCAAAGTGGGCCTTGGACGGGACGACCGAGCCCGAGTCTGCGACGACGACGGCGCCGCGGGTGAGCGGAGCATTGGCAAAGTCGATAGTGTGGCGCGGGCGAATGACTTCCGGGTTCTGGCCCCAGTGGGTGAAGAGGGCGCAGTGTGAGAGCTGCTGGGCGTGGACGTACGACTTGCCGCCGTCATCAAAGTTGGACTTGTCGAAAAAGGCGTTGTAGTCATCGATGGCGACGAGGATGGGCGGAGCGTCTGAGGGGGCCGAGTGAGCGTCTGCGGCAAGGGCAGCCCGGAGCATGACGACAGCACTCGGGGCCATGGCCTCGTACTTGTGAGCAAGATCAAAGGCCTTGCCGAGGTCTGCATCGCCGGCGGGAAGGACTGTGTCCTCTCCGAGGTGTGTGGCATCGAGCGGGGCAACAAGCGGGAGGTCGCGGAGCCAGGCAGCGTTCTCCACCATACCGAGAATGAGGCCAGCCATGTCTGACGAGTCATACATCTCTGCCGGCTCTCCCTCAGCCGTTGTCCAAGCCTTTGCCTGCTGAAGGTGGATGGCCTTTGTGGCGAGGGTGGCGGCCGAGGGCAAGGCGAGGACTCTCCAGCCTCTCTCACTCGCCCACGCCTTGACCATGTCCAAGCCAACGCTCTTGCCCGTACCACGGCCACCAGCCAGCTTGTAACTCGCAGTGTAGCTTGCAGGGGCGTCGGTAGCGGCAAAGGCCTCGGCACGGTGAAGCGACTCGAGGACGCGCTGGATGGGCCGACGGACAAGGCCCCCGCTTGCACTCCCGTCCATGGCTACCATGGACATGATGCTCTCCTCAAGGTGAGCTTTGTTGATTGACGTCGTTGCTCGCCGCATGGCATGCGCGCCCTGCTGCAGAAGCACACGCTGGGCATGGCCGAGCATGGTGGGTGGAGGGGTGAGGCGGTGGGGTGGGCGTGGGGGGAGGGGGGGGGAGGGGTGGTTGGCGGGCGGGCAGCGGTGATTTTTGGTATTCGGCGCGACAAGGTGCTTTGCGCGGCGGGAGCGCGGGACGACCGGTCAGCTGGAGATAACGACTGGTAGGGAATGTATGTTCATGTTCATGTGGACGTGAATGTGGATGTGGGGATGCAGATAAGATTTGCGTCTGGTTGCTTAAACCTTGACGGGCATGAAGCGGAGGGCGAGGTAGGCGAGGAGGCGGAAGAATACGAGCATGCCGATGAGGACGGCAACCCAGTGGCCGATGTTGGTGTCCTCATAGCCAAAGTGGCGGAGGACGTCCATGCCGGTGAAGGAGCAGGCCGAGGCGTTGGAGGGCTGGAAGGCACAGAAACAACCGGTGGGCGACGACGGCGAGGCGTCGCAATTGATGATGCGGCCCTCGAGGTCGTTGTACATCAGGGCCTCGAACGAGTACTTTTGGTACGACATGTAGTGGAAGGTGTTGCGGAAGAAGGCCGGCATCGACTTTGTGGCGATAAAGTAGCCCTGGTAGGTCATGGCAAAGCCGTTGACCATGGAGCCGACAGCGAGGACGATGATGTAGTACTTGGTGAGAGCGGAGAGGAAGGCGATGATGGCTTCGGCGATGAGGAGGGCGAGGTAAACAATGCCGATGAAGATAGCAAAGCGATCAAAGCGGTCGTCAAGACCCATGAGCCAGAACGCGGTAGCGCCAAAGGTGAGCGAGATGAGAAAGACAAAGAACGAAGAGATGAGGGTCGATGAGGCCCAGTACGCAAAGGTGGAGTACTTGCCGTTGGCGCGCTCGCGCTCAAAGATGATGCGGTCCTCGATATAGGCCGGGGCCGAGGCAACTGACATAAAGGCGACAAAGGCGACCGAGAAGAAGAGTGCGCCCTGGCGGTCCTGAAGCTCTGACTGGTTCGAGATGTCGAGGTCGAGCCAGACGGTTCCGATCATAAGGGCAAGGGCGAGGTACATGGCGAGACGGACCCAGTAGAGGGCGACGTAGCGGATAGCGTTGACCATGTTGCGCTTGAGGAGGACCATGGTCTGGAAGAGCCGCGAGCGGGCGTAGTGCATGGTGCGAGCTTGCGAAGCAGTCGAGGCCACCGACTCGAGCGGCGCAAGCTGGGCAGCCCGCAGCTCGCTCTTGAGAGACTGCGACGCGTCCGACTCGGGGAACTTTGCCACGATCTCTGCGCCCGAGAGAAGGCGGGCGTAAGGGGCGGAGACCGAAGAGATGAGCGGTCGACTCGGCGAAGAGGAGGATGACGATGAGGAGGAAGAGGAGGACTCGTCTTGCTGCTGCTCATGAACCGAGTTGGCCTCATCGTAGGTGTATGGGTCGGCGGCTGATGAGGCGGCCGGGAGCGCAAAGTCGTCGTTGATGTGGTCGAGGACAAAATCGGCGAGGTTGACGTAGTTGGGCAGGTCGAGGCCGATGCTACCCAGGTAGTCGGGCAGGTTTTCAACAGAGCCAAAATACGCGGTCTTGCCGCCCGAGAGAAAGAGGACACGGTCAAAGAGCGAGAAGACAGCGGAGGAGGGCTGGTGGATGGAGGCGACGATGGTCCGCGACTGGGTGCGGGCGAGGCGGCGCATCATGGACATGACGTGGAAGGAGGCGGCTGAGTCGAGGCCGGAGGTGGGCTCGTCGAGAAAGAGCAGGGCCGGCGAGGAGACAAGCTCGGCGCCGATGGCGGTGCGGCGACGCTCACCGCCGGAGATGCCGCGGATGAGGATGTTGCCGACCTTGGAGTCGGCAACGCGGTCGAGGCCGAGATCGGTGAGGATGGTGTTGATGCGGGCGGTCTTGACCTCGCGCGAGACCGAGGCTTCGAGCGAAAACTCGGCCGAGTAGTTTAGGGTCTCGCGAACGGTGAGCGAGCCCATGAGCGCGTCCTCCTGCATGACATACGAGGTATGGCGGCGGATGTCCGGCTCCTGTAGCGACTGGCCATTGACGGCAATCGAGCCCTGCACGCCATCGGTGACTCGGCCCGCGAGAATGTTAAGGAGCGAGGACTTGCCGGCGCCGGACGGGCCCATGATGGCCAGCATCTCACCAGGCTTGACGAGGCCGGACACGCTATCGAGAATGGTCTTGCAGTCATCGCCCTTGCCGACGGCAAATGTGACGGAATCAAAGGCAAGCGTCATGGACGGATGGTCTACAGCAGGCCGAGCTTCCTCGAGCTGTACGCCCGAGAGCGAACTGTAGTTAGATGAGCTGGACATTGATAGTAGGGAGCAATTCGCGAGGAGTTGGCCGCGACAACAGGTGGAGGGAGGTGGGTATGCCTGTGCGGGGGATGGGTAACGTGTCGCGGATCACCACAATTCTTTGTCAAGGAGGACGGGGGAGGGGGAGGGGGGGTGGCACACGTTTGTTGGCATTTTTTTCGGTGACCTGGTCGCTTGGACTGGTCGAACCAGCGGTGTTTTGTGCTGGCAGTGGCGAGGGGAGGTCGAGGAGGGGAGGAGACGTGGTCAGATTCGCTGGCCACTGCACTACATTGCGAAGCCATGTCGGCCGGGGACTGGCAAGCTGTGCAAGTTAAGGTTAGTTGGCAGGAGGGAGGACGGGGGGGGG